TGAGCCCCGGTGCCGCGGGGATTACCTTCCTCTGAGGAGGCGGAGGACGTCCCGGCCTGGCGCCCCGAGGGCCTGGGGGCCGTGCTTAGTTCTCTGGGATTCTCGAAGCGCTCCCGGCGCAGGGGACCTCGTCCGCCGCGCGCGCGCAGTTCTGAGATCGCCCCGGCGACTTTCCCCCAGGGCCGCGTTTCCACGTGGGCAGCCGAGCCGTCTGTCTATCAGCGCACGTCCCTGTCCGTCTTTCTTACACCCGCCCTTCCCCAAAGTCTCCGAAGCGCGAACCCCGCTTCCCCCTGAGTCTGCGGGGGGTGCCCGGCCAGCGCTCGGTCTGGCCGCTCCATCTTCTCCTTTACGTGTAAAACGCGGGATGCGGTGCGCGCCTTACCTGTGGGACAGAACGGCGGGTCAGTAATAAAGGGCGTAGAGGTAAATTCATGATTATTGAGCGCCGCCGAGAGCCACATGCTAATATGGGCTCTGCCCTCCTAGAATTTGTGGACTTGGTTCTGTGACTGCTTTGAAAAGTGCAAAGGAGTATTTATTGAACTTCATACTATGTGCTAAATGTCAAGAGAGTGGGAGGTTTTGTTGTTCTCGGAGTGAAACGAAAGATGCAGTTCTATGCCCAGCTTAGAGCGGTGAAGATGAATGAATGGATGGGATACAGCTGTGGAAGAGAATGAATGACTCCTCCCTTCTTGAGTCTCTGAGCGAATAAGAATTTGTTTTTGCTCTGTGTCCGGAAGGAGTGTGCGTGTATCCAACATAAATATGAATTTACGGACTAATGTTTATGTGTTTGGCGTATCTTGCCTGAAGTTGATATGTTTGTGCGTTTGGCCGTTCCCTTGCGTGTGTTTTTTGTTATAAACACGTGCGAGAGAGGGCTAGGTAGGTAATACACACGGATGCATGCCGATGTAGTGAAAATGAGAGAGAAAAGGTTGCAAGTTTGCGTGAATGCGTTCGAGTAAGTAAATGAAAAAGTGAATATGTAGACAAATGTAGAAACGTGGTGATGTGAATGGATAGTTTGGTAGTGGAGGGAAAGAAAAAACTAGAAAAAAAGATATACTCAAAGGATTAACCAATTGAATATTATGACTTGAACTTCCTATTTCTGTTTACCAGAATAAATTAATATTCTGAGAAACTGTTCTTTGTGAGTTGGTTAAAAATGCTCACCGATTTTTTTTTTCTTCTGATTACAGAAGCAGTACGTATTCTCTGTAAGACGTTTACAGTGATTTTCTACACTTAAATGATGAATTAATCTCCATGATGCTTTTACTGTTAACATTATCTATCTGGCCAGTCCTTGGTCTACACATGCATATATGTGCGTATATAATTTTTTTTCCCCTTATTTTTCAAGGCAGGGCAGGGAGCCAAGGAGAGGTACAAAATTGGAGTTTCATGTACATACTTTTTTTGGGAAATCATAACTTTAAAAAAATTACCATTTAGTTTTCTCCAACATCACTTTAGTAGGTATAGAGTATTTCACTGTGTAGATGAGCAATAATTTAGCTAGTCTCTCTACTTAGATATTTCGGTTGTTACAGTTTTTGCTGTTATAAATAATACTGATATTATAACCCAATATTATAGCTGTGAATTTTTAATTCCTCAAAGGCAGCATTTGTGGAACAAAGAATATGCAAAATGTTTGATCATGTCTCCACACTCTCACCAACACCGATATATTCTAATTTGAGAAGTTGAAATGCTGTTTTATTTAAGTTAATGTTTACTTGTTTACTCATATTGATGGACACTCGCGTATTTGTCTTTTGTTCCTTTTTTGTTTATGCTCCTTGCCCATTTTTAAATTGCTTTGTAGGATCTTTCTTGCATGGAGGGTATTAATATTTGTCACATATATTGGGAAGGTGGTTTCTAAGCTGCCTTTGACTGTTGTGTGTGTGCATTTCAGCGGTGGAATTTAGAAATTCATTGCAGTCAGATCCTTCAGCCTTTTCCTAGATGATTTTGCCTTCAGTGTTCTGCTTAGAAGGGCTTTAGTACTCTGAATTTATCATTATTGGCCCAATATTTTCCTCTAGTACAATTTCGATTTCTTTATATTTTAACTTTTATTTCCCCAGAAGTTTATTAGCAAGAACTTAACTTTTTCCCCCTTCAATATGGAATTATCCCTTTTTTTGGAAGCCAGTGACTTAAATAAGTATTTTATTCAGCAGTCTTTTCCCCATTCAGAACTTCCAGGTAGGTCTTCCTCCCCTGAATAGTGTCATAGATCTCGTGCATTCCAGTGAACTTCAGAAACCCAAAATACATCAGATCCTAATGATACGTTAGGGCTGCTTTGCTTTTGGATCATGCAGACCTATTCTTGCTGTTTTTGCCCGCTTTTCCCTACTTGTCATTCACCTGAAAGGTGGGCAAGAGAATTCAAACAACTCTGCGATGGATGTTGCAGATGAGCACCCTCAAATTCATTCCTTCCCGGTCCCCTAAGCCTGCCTTACCTTGTCTACCCTGTCCTGGAGTCTGGAAATAAGACTACATTTCCCAGAATGCCCTGTGGTTGTGTGGTCTGGCTTCAGCAGGGTAGATGACTAGGGGGAGTCTAGGGGGAAAGTGAGGGAAAAGCCACTGTCTGGGAGGGATTTGGGTTTTCTTCATTTCTCTTGGCATTTCGTTGTAACTTCAGTGGGGTCAGGAGGGTAGTGAGCATCCATTTAGCTGGCATGGATTGCGTCTGAGGTGGTGGGGTCCTGGCTTTTCCCTTTTACGTAACCTGTCATTTTTCTCTAGCTGCTCTCAAGATATTTTGTCTTTAATTTTTAGTAGCTTAATTATGGTGTTTCTTGGTGGATATTTCCTTGGGTTCATTTTGTTCAGAGTTTACTCAGCTTATTGGATCTGTAGGTCTTTTGCCAAATTTGGGAAGTTTTCGGCCATTATTTCTTTGAGTACTTTTTCAGCCTTGACCTCTTTCTCCTCTTTCTGGGACGCCAGTGAATGAGTGGATCTTTTGTGTGAGTCCCCTAGTTCCCCGAGGCTCTGTTCTTTTGTTTTCAGTCTGTTTTCTCTGTGTTGTTGAGACAGAAAGGTTTCTGTGGTTCTCACTTCCAGTTCACTGATTCTTTCCTCTCCTCTCTCCAGTCTGCTGTGGAACCCACCCACGGAGATTTTATTTTGGTTGTTGTATTTTTCAGTTTTCAAACTTTCTTGTAGCTCTGTTCTGTATCTTCCATTTCTTTACTGAGGCTTTCTCTTTTTTCCCCCCAGTGGTTTCAAGTTCAGAATTGCTCATTGAAGCATTTTTAAGCATTGCTGCTTTACAGTCTGTTAGAGAAGTCTAACATCTGTGTCATCTGCATGTTAGCATCTATTGATTATCCCTTTTTCATTCAGCTTGAAACCTTCCTGGTTCTTGGTGTGATTTTTGATTGAAACCCGGACATTGCTGAATTATGTTATGAAACTCTGGATCTTATTTAAATCTTTCGTTTAGCTTTGTTTCATGCTGCTCTGGCGGGGGAAGGGGGTTGCTGTCTTGTTACTGCCAGGCGGAGATAGAAGTCCAAGCTCCCCCTTTTGGCCTCTGTTGACACCTGGGGATAGGGAGGGGGCTCCTCCTTACCTCTGGGTGAGGGTGAGTCCTGGGGGTGCATTATGATCTAGTAGGGGTAGAAGTTCAGGCATCTTGAGGGGTCAGTTTCTTCATCTCCAAGTCTGGGATATGTGAGGCAAAAAGAAATCTAGGGAGCTCATCACCCTGTTGTACCTCAGGTCCCCAGGTCCCTAGCTGACCTGCCTTGGTCACGCCACCTTTCCAGAGTCGATTTATGTTTGTTTTCTTTGTACCATTCAGGGTGTTTAGTTGTATTAGCAAGAGGAGTGAGAAAAAGGACATCTCTATCTTCCCAGAATGGAAGTGTTCTGAGTTCATTTTTTAATTTTCTTAAGTTATCTGATTCTCCCTTTCTCTCTCTTTTTAAAACTATCTCTGATTTTTATTTTAATTTACCGAATACCTAATTTTATTTTTATTTTTTAATTAAATTTATGGGCGCGACCTTGGTTAATAACATACATGTTTCAGATGCACAATTCTGTAGTACATCTTCTGTATCTTGGCATTGTGTGCTCACCGTCCAAAGTCCAGTCTCCTTTCATCATCATGCATTTGACCCCTTTACCCTCTTCATCCTGCCCTCAACCCCCTTCCTCTCTAGTAACCGCATTGCTGTTATCTGTGTCTGTGAGTTTGTTTCATTTGGTTTGTTTTTTGTTTTATATCCCACATATGAGTGAAACTGTATGGTTCTAGACCTTTTCCATCGGACTTATTTCACTTAGCAGGATGCTGTCAAGATCCATCTACGTTGTCACAAATGGTAATACGTCATTTTTTTATGGCCAAGTCGTATTCCAGTGTATATATGTACCACATCTTCTTTATTCAGTCATCTGTCAAAGGACATTTCCATGTCTTGGCTACTGTGAACATGTATGAAAAGAAATGTTTTCAAATTTGTTGGGTACATACCCAAAAGAGGGATTGCTGGATCACATGGTAATTCTATTCTTAATTTTTTGAGGAATCTCCGGACTGTTTTCCATAGTGGCTGCACCAGTTCACATTCCCACCGGTAGTGTGTGAAGCTTCTTTTTACTCCATGTCTCATTGATAGTAGCCATTCTGACAGATGCGAGGTGGTATCTCATTGTGGTTTTGATTTGCGTTTCCCTGATAGCTAGAGAAGTTGAGCATCTTTCCATATATCTGTTGGCCATCTGTATGTCTTCCATGGAAGAGTGTTCAGGTCCTCGGCCCATTTTTTTTTTAATTGGGTTGATTGTTTCTGTTGTTGAGTCCTAGGAGTTCTTCACATGTTTTGGATATTAGCCCCTTGTTTCGTTTGCAGATTTCTTCTCCCATTCAGTTTTTTGTTTGATCGACGTTTTATTTTGCTGCGCAGAAGCTTCGTAGTTTGATGTAGTCCCATTCATTCATTTTTGCTTTTACATCCCTTGCCTTTGGGGTAAAGTTCGCAAAATCTTCTCTGAGACCAAGGTCCATAAGTTTAGAACCTATGTTTTCTTCTATGTATTTTTGTTGTTTCAGGTCTTATGTTCGAGCCTTTAATTCGTTTCGAGTTAATTTTTGTGTGTGGTGTCACATAGTGGTTTCGTTTCATCGTTTTGCATGTGGCTTTTCCAATTTCCCCAACATTTATTGAAGAGGCTTTCTTTTCTTCATTGTATGTTTTTGACTCTTTTGTAGACAGTTAGTTGCCCATATACATGTGGATTTATTTCTGGGCTCTCAGTTCTGTTCCATTGGTCTGTGTGTCTTTTTTTCTGCCAGTACCATACATACCGTTTCGATTATTGTAGCTTTGTAGTACAGTTTGGGGTCAGGGAGTATGATACCTCCAGCTTGTTTTTTTCCCCCCTCAGGATTGCTTGAGGGTCTATTCAGGGTCTTTTGTGGTTCCATACAAATTTGATGATTTTTTGGTTTGTTCTTTTTTCTATTTCTTTGAAAAATACCACGGGGATTTTGATGTGGATTGCATTAAATCTGTAGATTGCTTTAGGTAACATGGCCGTTTTTAACTATGTTGGTTCTTCCAATATGAACACAGAATCTTTCCATTTCTTTGTGTCTTCTTCCATTTCTTTCAACAGTGTCTTGTAGTTTTCAGTGTATAGGTCCTTCACTTCCTTTGTTAAGTTTATTCCTAGGTATTTTATCCTTTTTGGTGCAATTGCAAATGGGACTATTTTCTTCATTTCATTTTTTTTTTTTTGATATGTCATTGTTAGCATATGGAAACACAATGGATTTTTGTACATTGATCTTGTATCCTGCAACTTTACCGTATTCGTTTATTGTTTGTAATAGTCTTTGGTGGAACCTTTAGGGTTTTCTATATACAGAATCATGTCGTCTGCAAATAGTGACAGTTTTACTTCTTCATTGCCAGTTTGGATGCCTTTTCTTTCTTTCTCTTGCCTGATTGCTCTGGCGAGGACTTCCAGTATTACATGGAGTAACAGTGGCGAGCGTGAACATCTTGTCTTGTTCCTGATCTTAGAGGAAAGGCTTTCAGTTTTTTACCATTAAGTATGATGTTAGCTCAAGGTTTGTCATATATGGCCTTGCTAATTGTGTTGAGGTACTTTTCTTCTATACCCATTTTATTGTGTTTTAACCATAAATGGATGTTGTGTCTTATCCAGGGTTTTTCCTGCATTTATTGATAGGAGCATATGGTTTTTATCTTTTATGTCGTTACTGTGATGTGTCACATTGATTTGCATGTACTGAACCATGCTTGCACCCCTGGGATGAATCCCACAGTTCTTCTTTTTTTTTTGGTCCATAATAATACTTTTATTTTTATTTTTTATTTTCTTAAACATTCTATTTATTTATTTATTTAACATTTTATTTTTTCCCTCCTCCCTCTTCTCCCCTCCCCTCTGGTAACCACTAGTCCATTGTCCATGTCTATAAGTCTCTGTTTGTTTGTCCTGTTCATTTGCTGCTTTTTAGTTTATATCCCACATCTAAGTGATATCATGTGATTTTCAACCTTTTTTGGCTTATTTCACTTAGCATGATTATCACGAGGTCCATCCAGTTGTCATACATGGCCGTATTTCATCTCTTCTTACGGCAGAGTAATATTCTATTGTATAAATGTTCCACAGCTTCTTTAGCCAATCATCTATCGTAGGATACTTCTGTTGCTTCCATGTCCTGGCCACTGTGAATAATGCTACTGTGAACATCGGCGTGCAAATATCTTTTCGGATACGGATTTTCAAGTCTTTGAGGTAAATAAATACCCAGTAGAGGGATTGCTGGATCATATAGTAGATCGATTCTTAGTTTTTTGAGGAACCTCCATACTGTTTTCATAGTGGCCGTACCAATTTGCAGTCCCAGGTTCTTTTTTCATGTATGGTTGAATTCAACTTGCCAGTATTTTGTTTAGGATTTTTGCACCTATGTTCAGCAGAGATATTGGCCTGTAATTTTCTTCTTGTGTGTGTTGTCCTCGCCAGGTTTTATATCGGGTAACGTTGGCCTCATAAAATGAGGTAGGAAGTATTGCCTCTTCTTCAGTTTTTTGGAAGAGTTTGAGAAGAATAGGTGTTAAATCTTCGATCATGGGGTACCATTCACCAGTGAAGCCATCTGGTCCTGGACTTTTGTTTTTTGGGAGGTTTTTGATGATTGATTCAATTTCTTTACTATTTGATCTGTCTGTTTAGGTTTTTCAGTTTTTCATAGTTCAGTCTAGGAAGGTTATATATTTTTAAGTCTTCGAACTTTTCTTCTAGGTTATTGAAGTTGTATATAGCCTTTCCTAGTCTCTCGTTTAATCCTTTGTATTTCTGTGGTGTCTGTTATGCTTTCTCCTGTTTTGTTTCTGATTTTATTTGAGTCTTTTCTCTTTTGTCCTTAGGGAGTCTAGCCAGTCTTTCTGAAGAACCAGCTCTTTGTTTCATTAATTTGTTCTATTGTCTTTTTGTTTTCTATTTTATTTAATTCTGCTCTTATTTTCATTCTTTTCTGCCTTCTACTGACTTTGGGCTTTGTTTTTTCTTTCCTAGTTCTTCAAGGTGAAATGTTAAATTGTTTGAGATTTATCTTGTTTCTTGAGGTAGGCCTGCAATGCTATAAACTTCCCTCTTTTCACTGCCTTTGCTGTAACCCTAAAATTTCGATGTGTCATATTGTCATTTTTATTCGTCTCTACCTTTTGACCTCTTCTTTCATTTCTTCTTTGACCCAGTAGTTGTTCAGTCACATGTTGTTTCTTCACATAGTTGTGGTTTTTCTTGCTTTCTTCTTGCAGTTGATTTCCAGTTTCATACCGTTGTGGTCGGAGAACATGCTTAGCATAATTTCAGTATTCTTAAATTTATTGAGACTAGTTTTGTGCCCCAACATAGGGTCTATCCTTGAGAATGTTCCATGTGCGCTTGGGAAGAACGTATATTCTGTCGTTTGGCATGGACGGCTTTGTAAATACCGATTATGTCCATGGTCCAGTGTCATCACAGCCAATATTCCCTTATTAATTTTCTGTTTGGATGATCTATCCCATTGATGGCGATGGGGCATTTAGGTCCCCGACTGGAATGTGTTTTTGTCGGTTTCTCCCTTTAGGCCTGTTCGTAATTGTTTTATATACTTTGGTGCTCCCAGATTGGGTGCATACATATTAGTGTTATATCTTCTTGATGTATTGTCTCCTTTATCATAAAATGTACATCTTCGTCTCTTGTTACCTTTTCTATCTTGAAATCTATTTTGTCTGATGTAAGGACAGCTATAACCACTTTTCTCCAGTTGCCATTTCCTTGGAGTTAATATTATTTTCCACTCCTTGACTTTGAGTCTGTGTTTGTCTTTGTAGCTGAGAAGGGTGAATTTTCTAACCTACAAAATGGGGATAATACCTACTGCATAGGATGGTTCTAAGTATTAAATGAGGTAACTTTAGGTAAAGTGTTTACTACTTGCTCTGGAATTTAGTACACACTTAATAAAAATTTCATTTTTTAAATGTTTTACAATTATTATATATGGTCTAGTTTTTTTTTTGTTTGTTTTTTGTTTTTTAAAGGCCATGAGTTCAAACCAGAAAGCTATGTTTTTGTTAACAGTGTGTTTGGTGTGTTCCCTCTCCCCACGATATGGCTGCCGATGTAAGAAACACCCAAATCTGTAGAGAATGTTTATAAGCGTTTACTTGAGCTGAACAAAGATCTGCCTGGAAGGAAGTCTCATTTGCCGGAGCGGACCCTGGTGTGAGACACGGGCAGTGTAGACGCCAAATCCCAGTTTGACTTGCTCATAGATCAGGCGGATCCTGTAACGCTGGCACTGTGTTAGGGCTGTAGATAATAAGGCTACTAAGTCTGCTCAAAAAGTGGTTTCGGAAGTCAGTGGATGTTTACTGGCCATGACTCTCCAGCAGAGGGTGTGGCCAGTGAGGCGGGGGTATGGGAACCAGGCACGTTCTTCAGTCCCAGTCTCAGAACATAGCCTGGGTGTGTGCCGAAATGTCCACTCTTTGCACTTGTGGTGTTTTCCATTTCTAGGGCTTCGTCTACGCTCCTATCAGCTGGAGGGAGTCAACTGGCTAGCCCAGTGCTTCCACTGTCAGAATGGCTGCATCCTGGGAGACGAGATGGGCCTGGGTAAGACCTGCCAGGTATGTTCCTGCGGAGCGACCGCTGCTCCCCAGCACCGAAGTACCTTCTCACAGCTCATTCCTGTCTTTAGTGGCCAGCTACCGGCTTGTACTCTCATACTAAGAAATGAAATGTCTGAGCCTTTCTTTAGAGATCTTAACCTTGGAGTTGACTTTTCTAGTTGTGGGGATAGTTTTGAACTGAGTCACTACCTTTGTCTCAGCCCTTGACATTGTGGTTAATGGGTGGGGTTTTTCTCTTGTAAGGCCAATCTACCCCTCCCGGGGATCAAATGGACTCTGCCCTCCTTAGCAATACTGTGTCTAGTGAACTGCATCACTTCTGGTATGGCTCTCCCTCCCTCAGTGAGTAGTGGGGCGACTTCCCATTGCTTTGGCATGCCATAGGAGTGCAGAAGAAGTCCCCTGTGCTTTGCAAGATGCCTTGATCACCTAATGGTAGGACACAGTCTGGAGACCTGGAGAAGCAGCCATGGCCTCCTTGGTCCTGGAGAAGCAGGTGGTGTGTTGAGGTAGATGCTTCTAGTGGGATGATCGTCAGTGATCATCATCATCCTGTGTCAACCTATGTCAGCGGTAGATTTGGACTGATGCGAAGTCCAGACACAGACACCCCTTGGATGAGTCACACGAGGTGTCCTCATCTGTAGGCCACCAAGGAGAGTCGGTGTGGTCGGGATACACAGCAGCGGCACATGGCTGGAAACCGTGGAGGTGATCCCCGACACCGCAAAGGGTTTACCGCCTGAGCACGCAGGATGCGGGACGGTCTCGCCGTCTTTGCCTAGACTCAGGTGCCCCTCCCAGGCTAACGTCATACGTAAGCGTCACGCCGGAGCGCTTCTGCAGAGAGGCTGGGCCCGCCACGTGCTGGAGACTGTCGCAGGCAGGTACACCTCGTTAATCTTGGGGTTCAGAAGACAGCGCGACCTCCGAGTATGGTGCCCTCGGGTTTCTCAGGCAAATAAGCCCAGTTCTAGCACGTTCCTGAACTGAGAGCTGTGGAACTAGGACGAGGTAGATCTCTCAGACGTCTCTGGGGGCCAGGCCTGTGCACTCTGGGACCAGGCTCCAGGCCTTCCCTGGGGCCCCCCTCGCCTCGGACGTGGGGACCGAGTCCTGACTGCATTCAGAGCCAGCAAAGTCCCCCTGTCCTTTGCCCTTCCCCAGAGCATTCATGTAGCCCTAAAAATATCACACCTCCAAACTTGTCTTGCTAAAATTTTGGTTAGAATTTTCGCCTCTGCGTTCGTGAAGGATGTTGGTGACCTCCCTTGTCGCCTGCTGCTGGCATTGCGGTCAGGCCGGACCCGTTGAATGAGCTGAGACGTCCCTCCTCTTCAGCTTTCTAGAAAAGTTCGCATAGAATTAGTGTCGTTTCTCCCTTAAATGTTTGCTAGAATTCACTAGCGAATCCAAATTAATTTTGTAAATATATCTGGTTTACAGTAATAAAAGCTAAAATTTCTCTCGTATCCACAGCAAAGGCTCAACGGCATGGTTTTAACTCAATACTTATTGGGTGATTTTTCTGGGCAGTCTAGGAAATGATAAAGAAGAAAATTATTTCTGTTACGAAATTAATGCAATCTCAGTTTTATTAAAAACGAAAAACAAAACTACCACCCATAACCACAGTACTCTTAAGCATAACCATGAATGACAACATATGTTTACATGGCTGAACTTTTAGGGCACATATACTTCGTATTTTATTAACCTAACACTGTCATTGTAATTTTCTGTTTTATTCTATTCATCACAACCATTTTCTACTGGCTGCATAACATTCCATCAAGAGACTCGATCATAATTTGCTTCAGTGTCCCACGGATGCGGAACTGCAAATCCCCCCCCCGTTTGTGCTACTTAAGTTGACCTCCCTGTGAACCTCTTTGGGCCTCTGCTTCTCGGGATTTTGGGTTATGTCCCAACGATAGATTTTTCTCAGAAAACAGTTCAACATTTGCACACGGCTCAAACTTTTTGTTTTATAAAAGAGAGCTGTTTTCCCTATCAGTAACCTTCTAAAGAAACTTTTCAAATGTCAAGTGTGTATGGCCATGTCCTAAAACAGACCTAGTAGACTTTACAAAGCTTTTCATACCCCTACTTAAGCTGATAAGCGTTATCTGTTATCCCTTTGTTGGGACGTATGCTCCAGGAGACTTAGGACTTTTGTGCCTTTTGTTTGCTGTTATATTCCAGAGCTCAGAACAGTGCCTGGCAAATAGCAGGGGCCCTATAACTGCGTGCGGGAGGGAGAGTCTGGCAAGCAGCGGAGGCCACCACATGCTCGGTCATTTTTACAGTCACATCTCGACACCTGCTGTGTGTTTCAAGAGTGTTCCTCATCTTGTGCATCATTTCTTTTTTCATTGATCTGTTGTCTTTCCTAATTTTTTTTTCTTTGCCTTTGCGGTTCAGTTACGTAAATATTGAGCACCATTGCTCGTTAACTATTGATGTGATTGCCATACGTTTCTTTGGTAATTGCGTTGATGCTTACGTGGTTTCATCCTAGTCCTGAATGACTTGACCAACGTGTGGGAGATGGTACATCATTTTTAAACGGAGTCTTCTAGGAAAGTTTCCGTTCTCTACAAGGTCGTGGGAACTTTCTGGCTGTTTCTCATGCGGAAACGTGATCAAAACTGCCTTCGTTTTCTGTGTTCCAGACCATCGCTCTCTTCATTTACTTGGCAGGAAGATTAAACGACGAAGGGCCGTTTCTGATCATTTGTCCCTTGTCTATTTTGAGCAACTGGAAAGAGGAGATGGAGAGGTACAGAGCACATGCGGCTGAAATTTTATTTTTTTTACATCGATTAAGATTTTTTTCTGGGTGATATGTGAAATATGATAAAACAACACCTTGTCCTAAGCAGTGAGTTTCTTTCTTCCAGAAAACTCTGACCAGAGGCTATTCAGATAGAGACTGGGGGTCTGGTAAGGGGAGGGTCCAGTGAATGTTATTGTTACTATTTGGCAATTTGAAGTTCAGTGTGATTTTTAATAAATTTTGCTGAACTAAAGGAGAAAGCACCTTTTTCATAGTGACATAGGAAAAAATAGTTTTCCTCTTCGAGTTAGCACAAGGCCCTCTTAGTCGTCCATGCGACGCTTCCCCCTGCGCACACGGGGACTTAACGTTCAGGTTCACCCGTTACTCTCGGTGGGATTTCGGCCTCCGCAGACTCCTGGGTGCAGGGCGTCCCGAGGCCTGCATGCCTGCCGTCCTCCCACGGGTCGTGCTTGTCCAGACTCTTTTCCCTGACTCCGCGTTTGTGTTCATCTGCGTCTTCTCCCGGTTTCAGATTTGCTCCAGGTCTTTCCTGCGTGACATACGCAGGTGACAAGGAGGAGCGAGCCCACCTACAGCAAGACCTAAGGCAGGAGCTACGTTTTCACGTGTTGCTGACTACCTACGAGGTATCCATTTGTTTCTCTACAGCAAAAACTCGCTCTTAACCTGGGGCTTTAGAAGTTGTAGAATCTGCTTCAGAATTCCATTTCATGCTTTTTGAGAGCATGTTTTCCTGGGAAGGAAGTCTCTTTCCATCAGATGCTCAGAACGGGGCAGCGAGCAAGAGAAGCGGTGTTCCGAATCCCATCTCTCTCCTCGTCTGTCCTGGCGGGTCAAACGGGGCGGCTTCCCAGGGAGGTGGCCCTTGAGCTGTCTCTTGGTCAATGAATGGAAGGAGGCAGGCAGGCAGGGAAAAGGGTTTGTGGGCTGAGGCACCGTCTCTGTCCCTGGAGGGTGGGAATGGAGGACACTTAGTTCTAGCCTCATTCTAAGGCCCGTTCTTCAAGCCCAGACTGTCTGGGTCACTGGAAGCAAGACACTGCACTCATTCCTGCCTCCCTTCTGTTTTTCTGTAAGATCGTGCTGCTTGGAAATTATGTTCATGACCTTTTTCACCTAGTGAATGATTAAGACTGAGCTGAACCCTGTAGTTAAGGAGAGTTAACGGGAAACTAGTTTCTTAATGTCAGCGTTATATCAGCTCTGGCCTTTATAATGTGTTTTCCTTAATTTTTCAGATTTGTTTGAAAGATGCATCATTTCTAAAATCGTGAGTATGGAGAGTTACAAGACAGTGCATGTAACAGTATGAAAAATAGGAAATTCTTTTGATAATAAATGATCGACTTATAAAATCTCGCATCGAGAGGGTTAGATACTACCTCGCCTCACTCTCCAGTGCCAGAACTCCGTCCACCTCTTCCTTCCCAGGCAGCAGCCTTTAGCTCGAGGTCCCTAACCCCCAGCCAGGGCCAGTACTGACCTGTGGCCTGTTAGGAACTGGGCCGCACAGCCGGACGTGAGCAGCAGGCGGCATCTGCGTTTGCAGCTGCTCCCCAGTGCTAGGGTCGCAGCCTCAGCTCCACCTCAGGTCATCAGGCGTTAGATTGTCACAGGAGCATCGGTCCCCGGTGACAAAAAGATTGGGGACCGCCGCTTTAGAGCGTCCTCTGATTTGACCCACTTCCTTCAGCGAGTCAAAACCCACCTCCCTGGAGCCTTCCATTTCATGGAACAAGCTTTGATCGGATGCTCGCTGTAGGTAAAAACCTAAATGTCTAGCATTTCATAAATGAACAGGACCTAATTTGTTTTGAATGCTTTTGAAGTCAGAGGCCAGGCATTGTGCTACGGCCACTTTCACCCCTCATCTCCTGACCCTCATTTCTTGTCATTCTTAATTGCATCCCCCCGCTCATGCCACCCAGAGGGGCGATCCCAGTTCCTGCACCCTCTTGGGCTCCTGTTTCTCCCTCCATCTGCACCACTGTCAGCAGGTGAATGGTACAAGGCATCTGTTTCTGCTCCCGCCCTGTTCCGCCCCGTTCTCTGGGATTACAGATGTTTACAAACAAATCAAAAAGTTAAAAATCTTAATATTTCCACTTTATTACCTTTTGCGTGGTTTTCACATTAGCGAAAAAGGATATGTAATAGCTTTTTTGGTTATTAATAGGCTTATTTTATTGCAACATAATCCTATTTATCATTTAAAATGCTATATAATATTTCATCACTTATAATTAGACCTATTATTATTTTCAGGTGTTTTTTTGTTTGTTTGTTTTGCTATTTTAAATGATGCAGCTGGGCACACACTCAGACATACATATTTTTATTACATTTTTCTTCCGAGTCTCTCCTCGTTGGTAAAATGAGCACAGTTACGCCCGTTCAGCATCTTCTTTTGGATTACGTAATGTACATAAAGCCCCAGGCTCAGTGACGGGCACATAGTAGGTGGTCATAAATGTTTCCTTTTCCTTTCTGTCTCTGACTTTCTTTTCTGCCTTCAGCGCGGAGGCCTTCTCATCTTGGAAAACAATTTTCCTTGCTTTTGCTCCCTTATCCACATATTGTATTAATGTACATGGTAGGCTCTCAGGTAAGAAGGCAGTTTGGGGTGTCTTTCTAACCGAATGGATTTAATATTAGTCTTCCCAACAGCAGAGTTTGGGAGTAAGACTTCTGCTTGTGAGATACACGTTTGAGTCACGCAGACCGAAAGCTTGGATTTTTCTCCCGCAGCTTTCCCTGGAGTGTTCTCGTCGTGGATGAAGCTCACAGGTTGAAAAACCAAAGCTCCTTGTTGCATAAGACACTTTCAGAGGTAAACTCAGCGTTATATCAGCTCTGGCCTTAGTGTTTCCATAACGCCCTTTAAAAAAAGTTAGTTTAGGCCTCTGTAGAGCTAATTAGGTTCAAATGTGCTCCACCCCCCCACCCTCCCAGTCACCTTTCTGCAGGGCTAAGTGAATATTTCATGAGTGACAGAAGTAGTACTTGATATAGCGTAACCTCTTCCTCTTTAATGCAGGAGATAATGTTTACCAAAATCTGGTTATCAAGCGAATGAGGCTACCCCAATAAAATACATTGTATTTTTGGAAGTGTTCAACTCTTTTGATATTCTTCAAAGGGAGAATTTATTCGAAAAAGAAATCTCATTCTAATTCTGTCTATGGTAGCAGGCGTGTCTGCTGTAAGGCACCTGTCCCCCATTTATCTGCTCAAAGAATCCGACAGTTCACGCAGAGTTACGAGGAGGCCGGGCTCGTACTATGGAACGTTCCCCCCAATCACTGTTGTCTTCGTCATACTTTTGAGCGTGACGCCCTTGGTCTCATTCCCTTCTCTTTGTCTCCGGCGTCCTTCTGGCAAAGTAGATGGGAAATGTCATTGTACCCCAAGATTTGCCCTCTTTTCTGGGGAGCCAAGGGAGCAGCTCGTGTGTCCAAAGCTCCCTTCTCTTTGTCCAAGTAGCGGCTTGTTCGTTTGAGTGCGATTTTCTGACCATCACCGAAGTTTGGTCCCCGTCCGGTAATAAAACAATTAGTACATTTAGAGGTCATTTGGAGGATAGTCTTAGATCTGGATTCTTGATTTACTGGCTAAAAGTTGCAGTGTTTTACATGTTTGTGCAGATATGGCCACTGTCAGTTCAGTCTCCAGTGGTGAGGCCCCCTCTGCTCTATGGTGTCCTGCGCCTTCTTTTTAGGAACTCATAACGTTCTTTCTTTCTCGAGAGGCTGTCATATCCTGGTCACTAACCTTAGTCTGCTTCATAACCTACCAAGCCAGCTGACTCATTTACACTGAGAGGAGAGAAGCAGGTGCGGTAAAAGACCCTGGGTTTGGAGTGAGGAAACTGAGGCTCAGAGGGATTGAGTGAGAAAATCGCTCTGCATCATCTGAGCATCCTTTTTAGGTGAGGTGTGAGTTGCAGACAATGAGTTGGTTGGAAGAAATGCGTTTACTGATTGGGCCGAGAGGCGGGGAGAAGGGAGGGTGCTGCCTTCCTCCCGTTCTCGTACTGTTTTCAGCTTGTTCGTAGAACTTGGAAGCAGCATCGGGAATTTGTGATACATGGTTGGTCATGGTGACCAGCATCTTTGGTTGTCTGTGACCTCATGTTTTTTGGTTCCAGAAACCCACTAAGTTCTTTGCTTAGTGGGTACATATTGAAAAATGTGAGTTGGTTATTGGAAGCATTTATTTTTAACCAGTTTCTGTACTGGAAATACTGGGAAAACTTTGCTCTACAAGCAGAGCAAGCATGGACGGGTCGACGTTGATTAGGCAATTTAAAAAGAAATGAACAAAAATACCCCCCAAAACATTTTGAAATCGGTTTTAATTGATTGTGTCATTTCGTTGATCACCTCGTCGTATTACAAAAGCAATATCTTCTTATGCCCCCCAAATCAAAATGTAGAAACACAAGAAAAGTGAGAATCATTGATAATCCTGCTCCCCTGCACGCAGTAACGTTTGCTGTGTGTGCTGCCATGTGTTTTGCTGTGCACGTGTGCACCCAAACATGCAGATAGGTGTGTATATTATTTAAAAAGTCAAAATATATTATTTAAATATCAAAATATGTATATGTACATACATTGTGTATATATATACCTATATATACATACACACATTGTATTTCAATATTTAATGTGCACGGGATGTGGTTTTTTTCTTTTTGCTAGATAATTAAATGGTACAAGTCATTGCGAATGTCAGTTCAGAAGTTGTCCTTTGCTTGGCCTAAATACGTGTCGTGATGTTTTTTTCCTGATCATTTCCTTTATTAGTCTCTTCTTTTTGGCACTCTCATCTGTTGCTCAAAATTTAAAGAATTTCTTTTCATTTGGGTCGTATGTGGCCCAGAAACGAACAGAAGTCTTAATGTCTTGCACGCGATGCCCCGTCAAGTTTTAGGAAAGGACGTCGTCTGCGTAGGTCTCCTTGCTTCTGCCCATGGCAGTGGGGCCCGCTGCGTGTTTGGGCTCCTCGGACCGCGTGGATGTGCGTCGCGGGCCGTGGGCTGACTCACGACCACCGTGTCGGACACCCGTGTGGTGCTGCAGAGCTCAGGGCGATTTCACTCACACCCTGACAGCGGCTTCTCCTTCGCAGGGTTTCCGTCCCTCCGCTCCTCGTAGTGGAAACCGAAGAGCTGTTATTCCCCAGACAGACAGATAGCGCGCACCTTAGATGTGGGCCTCCGGAGCTCACGTCCCCACGGTCGCTCCTTTAAGCGCCCTCTCTCTGCTCGGGGACAGGCTGTGACGGGCACCGCGGCCTTGCTTTCCCACGTTGTGGGGTGACGACTTTATTTCTGTGTGTCTTGGAGTTCTCAGCGGCCTTCAGCCTCCTGCTGACCGGGACGCCCGTGCAGAACAGCCTCCGAGAGCTCTACGCCCTGCTCGCACTGCTGGAGCCGGGCGTCTTCCCCAGGGAGCAGGCGGAGGAGTTTGTTCAGCGTTACCAGGACATCGAGAGGGAGCCGGAGGCAGGCAGGTGGCCTGGGAACCGTCCCCGTGGGTGGCGGGTGGTGGTCACAGAAGAGAGGCGCGAGAACCAGAGGGCGCCGCCGGGAAGGTTAAGAGCCACACAGAATCAGGGTGCTGGCAGGCTCCCCACGGCCTTCCAGGTTGTTGGCTGTTCATGACTCTCTCGTTACACCACTCCAACCTGAGGCTTATTTGGGTCATTTTTGGAAGAAATGGAAAGTGCCTGCTGATTCGCAGGCTTTATTTTTGTCCATCGTGTGATTTCTGGGAGGACTCTAACGTTCTGTGCTGCTTCCTGCGGCGGGAACGGACGTGGGTGCTGTGGCCCCAGGCGACTGTCCAGCATCCCACAGCACTGATGTGCCTTGTAACACAGCACCGAGACCGGGAGTCTGGGATGCGGGGTGAAGGAGGGAAGCCTCCCCGCTCCTACAGCTTTCGGGTGTGGGCTTACCCCTCCTGCACTTCTGCCGCTCCGCCTCGGAAAATGTTCTGTCCCCGTCACGGTCCTCCAAGGTGATTGATTATTCAGGGCAAGGGGCAGGCAGCCAACCGGCGAGTCTGGCTGAACTAGGTGAGGATGACTCGGAAGGGGAAATCCCAACGCCGAAGGCTGAGGATTTCCTGGGGAGCCTGCTCTGATCGCTCAGGTGTTCAGGGTCGCCAGGTAAAGTAGGTGACAGTCACATATTACATGGGCCATCCTCATGTTTTAAAAATTATTTGATGTTTATCTGAAATTCAGATTTAACTGGGTGCTCATATTTTTATTTCCTGTGTCTGACGAGCCCGCATGCAGGGAATCCCAATGTAAGTTAGTTTTCAAGTTCACGACACTTGGGGAAGGAACGCGGGAGTTGAAGTCGAACGCCAGCAGCAGTGGCATCAGTGGCATCCAGCTCTGCCACTTCGGATGAGGCACTTCACGTTTTCTCAGCCTCGCTCAGCTTCACTATAAAAAGAGGGACGATACACTTACTGCCCTGCATTTCTAAGATGTTATGCTGACCAGTGAGAGTATCATTAGGAAGAATCAAGTTCTTTGAGTGTCCCAAGTTCTTGAGTTGAAGCCAGTAATGATTTCGGAAGGACCCAGCGAAGGGAAGAAACACTATGAAAAATTACCACATTGGCCTAGAAGGCAGAATTGGCTTGGAAACGAGAAGCAAAGCAGACTTGCCACGTGTTCTCCAGCCACTGGTCTCGCTTCGGTCCCACACGTCCCGTGCTTTTCGTTTCTCTCCCAGCCAGTGAACTGCACAGACTCCTGCGGCCGTTTCTGCTGAGGCGCGTGAAGGCCGAGGTGGCTTCGGAGCTCCCCAGGAAGACGGAGGTGGTGCTGTACCACGGCCTGTCGGCGCTGCAGAAAAGATACTACAAGGCCGTTCTGATGAAAGACCTAGGTAACCAGCAGCCACCTGTCCGTCTGAGCGAGGACGCGACTCATGCGGGGAGATAGTGTATGTTCACGCTCGCTCTGGGGAGCAAGCGCGTGGGATGCAGTTTGTGTTCTAAAGATGGTCGAGTTGGTGGCAGTGGACCTGGCGCGTGTCTTTACCATAACCGCGGCTTCGTCGTCTGTCGCCGTTGGGACATTTCCTCCCCGACCGCCACCCAGTTTTCCTCGTTGCCTGCGGTTAGGCAAACACTTCCTGGGGGCTCAGTGTGCCTGTCATTTCGCCATCCGGTCAGGTATTTTAACACATGGCAGAACGTCTTTGTTGAGTCAGAATCACTGGGAGGAATCGGGGCTGGGACCGTCTCTCAGTTCTCATCTCTTTGTCCTTTGGCTCTACAACAACCTTTAAAGAAGGACATTGGGAATTTACAAAAGAGTAATAAGGTAGTCCTGAGCTCAGTTTATAGTTAGCCTCCTTCTTAAAACAAAGTGATGGTTAAGAAGCCTGCCTATGGATGCACCGTTCTTGGTGCAATTCAGTGAAGTTTGAGAAGTTAATATAGGTTTGAAAACTATGTTATTAAATCGAGTAGGGTTATCGATGGACACTTGGTGGGTTTCTTGTTATAGCTCAGTAGTCTCTCTCTCTCTCTCTCTTTAAAATTCCAGATGCATTTGAAAATGAGGTGGCAAAGAAAGTCAAACTTCAGAACATCCTGTCGCAGCTGCGAAAGTGTGTGAATCACCCATATTTGTTCGATGGTGAGGCACTGCCCTTTTCACATTTTAACATTTCGGTGGCCGACATCATAGCAAAATTCTTCAAGAAAATTGCCTGTGTTTCCTGTCAGTTCCCTCCTCCCTTATTTTCTCGTGTCAGTTTTTTATGTCGAAGTTATCCAATATATTGTTCATATTCAGATTTCTTCATTTGTCTTTCTAATGTCCCTTATGGCTTTTTTGTCTTTGTTTTCAAATTCATGATCCAGTCGTAGATCCTGCATTGCATTTGTCGTGTAATGCATTTCTCCTATAATCCAGAAACATTTCTCAGCTTTTTTTTTGTCTTTTATGAAAGTGACAATTTTGAAGAATTAAGGACAGTTTTATGGACTGTCTCATAATCTGCATTCATTTGATTATTTCTTTGATTAGATGTTCCTCTGTCTTGACCCCATGCAGTCAGCCTTTCATCTCTGTCGTAGTTCACCGGCGACCTCCATGTTGCCCAGCCAGTGGGTGCCAGTTGACATTTTAATTAACCCCTCAAAACCTTTGACAGAGTTGATCCCTTCTTTCTTCTCCACCTGGCTTCTGCAGTGGCACTCTGTGCTCTCCACCTGCCTCGCGTCTACTCCTTCCCCTGCGTCTTACGGATGGCTGTAAATTTTCCTCTAGGTGCTGCTTTAGCTGCGTTCCGCACATGTCGCTTTGCAGTGTTTTCATTTTCATTCAACTTTTTTAAAAAAAGCTTGGCAGCCTTTGGGACAATTCAGGACTTCCGTGGCTGCGGGGGTCTGAGTATGGACAGGAGCAATGCAGAAGGTTGTTTTAAGGAAGTATTTGCCAGACAGCACTATGACTCATTTTAAAATGTCACAGCATCTTTATTAGTTGCATATCAAAACTTTTTTTTCCCCCAGGGAGTAGAGGTGTTGAGAATGTGTCGATTTTGAAAGAAGCCCTCCAGGTTCTTCTCACTGCCATCCCCACCTTGAGACTTACTAGTTTATACAGCTAAGCCTATTTCTTAGTTTGTTTTCTAGAGTGAGAGCCTCGAGATTTTAATCTTGGGTCTCGGGCCTTTAGCTTCTCCCTGTGCCTCTGTGTCCTGAAGAGTGGGTTTTACCCTTGGATAAGCATTATTCGTCATGTTGGCTGTGCCAAGCCCTGTGATTGATGTTAAGCACCAAGATCATGCAAACAAATTATGAAATGCCTCAGAGAGAGGCGAGACGTGGGTCCGTTTGCCATTCGCGGGAGCTGGGCCTCTTGCGGTGCCTGGCCGTCAGCTTCTCCGGCCAAGGAGTCGGTGCTGACGGGGACACACGTTGGGAGCAGGTCTGTTCTTTTCCAGGTGTGGAACCAGAGCCTTTTGAAATCGGAGACCACCTGATTGAGGCTAGCGGGAAGCTTCACCTGCTGGATAAGCTGCTGGCCTTCCTGTATTCCAGGTAAGTGGTAGGCTCGCATTTTCTGCTCTGAGCTGGCGACTGTTAAAAGCAGAATAATGAGCAACTCACTGACTTCTTGAGACTGATTCCAGTTTTCCTTTTTTCAAGACCCTTATTCAGGTTCCGCCTTCCATGCGGCCGCGCCTCCTACCCCATCACATGCCTGCAGGATCATCCTTTCCTTTCCCGAATCCCTGCAGCACGTAGGGCCCTAATCTCACAGTAGCCCTGCTCTGCTTTAATCTGCTATCTGGTTAATCGGTGTATATTAACCAATCACTCCAGCCGCATCGTTTAGTCCCACTGGGACAGAATTAACATCAAGCGTTTCTTTTTTAATTGCCTGCTGGTACCTCGCATGGAATTAGCACTTAGTAAGGGCTGAGTGAAGTAATCACTTTTGTTCACCTTTGATGGTTCGGTTTTAACTCGGGGAGAACTCGGGGGACTTTTCCCAGAAACGGGAGTTGGGCATCAGAAGACCAGGTCACTCCTGGAGCCTCTAAAGTTTCGACTGAGTGTTCAGTGCCTTGGCGTCCAGCCTATACCTGTCTCCTGAGGGACCGAGGAATCTAGAAAGATCCCAGCTTCCTAAGGATCTCAAAGCTGTCCCTTGAAGCAACTGCCTCCCGGCGGGTCTGAGCCAGCCTAAGGCCTCAGGTTGGGCAAAACCTCCCAGCTTAGGAATGTGCAAGTCAAATAATTGCACTTCTTACCTTTTCTGGGCTCTCGTGTATCCTTAAGTGTGTCAGAGTCGGAAGAGGACCCGTGACTATTTCCCGTCCCACCTTTTCCTTTCACAGGTGTTGAAACAGGTCCAGGGGGGTTGTGTGACTTGTCTGACGGTCCCACCCAGCTAACCACAGGCGGGATTAGAACTGAGGTCCTCAGTGCAGCTTCAGTGCCTTCCCCACCCCGGGGCCGGCATTGCTCCTCTGAACGCACTGCAAGCGCAAACCCAGTTGTGTTTCCTAAGGAGCCTGCGTTTTGACAGTGCTGTCCTCTTTTGTTTATGTAAACTTAAGATAACAGCCGATAACCCAGGGCCCTAGGCCTGGCTTCCTTCCTGCCGCCTCTCCTCTCTCCTTGTAGATAAGGTTTCTCGCGTGTCGTGTGGGGGATGAGATGCCACCTGCCCCTTGCTTCTCTAAAGCGATGAGTCAGCCGGTGTAGCTGTGCATGAGAGGATAGTGACTTTACACCCCCAAGCAGAGAGTGACAATAGGTGGCCAAGCACAGGCATTTGGCCTTTCTGAGGAAGCCTCTGTAAACGATCGTGACGTTTGTTTCCACTTCAGTATTCCGTGGACTTGTAAACTTGCATTCTTTGGTCAGTGTCACCCGAGGGAAACTCACCTTAAATATTGGAGCTGCCAGTTTTCCCTTTTTTCTTGCCAGGGGCCATCGAGTTTTACTTTTCTCCCAGATGACCCAGATGTTGGATATTCTCCAGGACTACATGGATTATAGAGGTGACAGCCCTTGGCCATTCACATTACACAAGCCTTTTTTAGACTTCACAGTCCAGATGGGTCCCTGAAGGGTCCCCTGGGGCATGGGGACGCCACCGAGGAGAGCAGTGGGAGGACATTATCCAGAGCCAAAGGAGGGTTGAGAGTAAGGAGAGAGGTGTGTGACGCCAGGTGGACAGCAGGGGAGAGACGTGTGGGTGACAAACACATTCCCATCGGCGTGATTTAAAGTTATGGGTCCCGGAGGAAACGTGAGAACCCGTTTCAGTGGCCGGAGCCTTCATTGTCCTGCAGCGTTCAGCTCAGTTTGCTTGTTCAGGGCCAGTAGCAAAGATGAATATTGAAATGAGAGACCCCACATATCAACCAAGAGAAAGGTCAAGGAAATTTTCTTCTGCATAGACAATAGAGCTTAAGTTGTTACCTGGGGCCGCCGTTTAGCAGATAAAGTTCACACGGGGGCCGGTGGGGCACAGCTGTAACCTTGGTTGGTCTTGAGATCAGCAGCAGCAGCAGCTCCAGACCTTCCCACTTGAGGGATGAATTCGGTGTCGGTCTCAGCCACCCGGTGCCCGCAGGTCTGTTGCACACCTGGGCCGGCGGCCGCGGGCAGGAAGGGCCACTGGCTCGCTGCGGGAGCCCCAGGTTTACTGGCACAGCTGTGCACACCGGTCCCCCGCCCCGCCAGGGAAGGCCCGCGGCCCTAGTGAGAGGCAGCCGCTGGCCCGTCGGGCGGCCTCACCCACCAGCTCCCGGCGCTCGTCTCGCTGTCCGCCAGGCAGCAGCAAGTCTGAGCGAAGTCCGAACCGCCACACAGCGGTGTCCAGTGCGCCCCAGGGTTACTCGGCATAGTCACAGTTTAATACTAACGCCAGGAACGCCAAGTACACCCGCCGCATGTGTTTAAAAAAACGCACAGGAGCACATTATGGCGAGTCCTGTGCCCGAACAATACAGCGATCCTTAAATTTAGATTTTCCCCGTGAGGCTTGCTTACGGTGGGGGCGTGCCCGTGCGCGGAAAGGAACACAGTTAGCACTTGGTTTTAAGCCGGCAACGTTTTATTCCGTGCAAAGTGTTTGACGAGGGTTAATGTTTCTCTTTCCTTCCTGTGTGCGAAGGCTACAGCTACGAGCGTGTGGATGGCTCCGTGAGGGGGGAGGAGAGACACCTGGCCATCAAGAACTTCGGGCAGCAGCCCATCTTTGTCTTCCTCCTGAGTACCAGGGCAGGTAGGCCACACCGCAGCGACAAGCAGACACGTGGGGGCCACGCAGGGCTTTCCCATCCTGGCCCTCAGTAGGTTTTCCTTGGTTCTCTGAAAGGCGGGATCATTACCCGGGGGCACTGAAAAAAAGGGGGCGCTAAAGTCGTTGCCGTAAGTTTGCCACGGCTGGGCTGCCCCCGGGCTGCTCTTTTCTGTCGAGGAGAATCTAAGCTGTCATCTCATCCAAGACGTGAGGCTGCAACCCGGGCTTCTTGGGGAATAGTTCTGCTCTACTTTGACCGTGGACCTGGGCTTGTCCTGTAAGATTCCTGTAATTCCATGGACACTTTGATTCATTATTCGGTAGAGGCAGCGCTCCTCCCCGGCCGTGACTTTGGGAGATGAGATTGCAGCCTGTCCACTTCTCCCTCCTCCATCAGCAGCCCTGGAATAGTGTCGCGAGCACTTTATAAAAATCTAGTGCTGAAAAAATTGTGATTATAATGAAATTGCCAGCTCTTTAGAATTATTTCTAACATCGTGACTTAAGTCATAAATATTGCATATGACAGTTGTAGTGCTTTACCAGTTACAGAGTGCTTTTGTTACGGTGTTAAATCATTTGAAATCAGTTCCTGGAGATGAAATTATTTCGTGTCATGGAGGAAGCAGCCCTTAAATTAGTTTTGAACTCATAGAACCCGAGTTTCATTATCTCTTATTTTTTGTAGCCCTAAATCCTGATGCAGAAACACTAAAAGAACGTGTGTCCTTTCTTCTAGAGAGATCAATATCTTTGTAAAAAGGGAAGCACTTTTTACTCGTTAAGTGCCTAGTCCTGTGAGGGTGTATAAAGGAAGTGTTAGGTAGAGCCCTTGCCCGTAGGAGCTTGTTTCACCAGCGTGTGTTTTATCTCTGTGTTACAAGGGTAGAATCAGCTTTATCCGGCCCCCCTTGTGTCCACCAGTTGTCCCAGGCAGTAGGAGACCTTGCTTTTCAGCTCCTCTCGGAGTACTCAGAATCAGCGGAAACAGAGCAATCCCCTACGAGCCAAAGCAGCCCTGGATGTCAGCCTTTTCCGAACACTAGTCCCAACGTGAGCCATCGCGTTTTAGCTGTAGGTGGACAGTTTTACCATGTATGTAACAGGTTTCCCTCTACCTTTCAAATTTTTCTGTGATGGAGGCATACCGCCACCAGGTGGCAGTGGAAGCTCATGAACGTGTCCCAAACAAGCCTGGTGGAGCTGATTGGTAGACTATCACGTAAAACCTCTTAATGAAAAAGAGCCGGCCTTAGACAGTAACCAAAGAAGGTGATGTGTACACAGCACAGCGTCAGGAAATGGGGCCTGGGGGGTGGGGTATTACGGCCGAGGGGACGAGAACAGGCTCTGTGGAGCCAGACCACGTGGGACGGAACCCCGGCCCTGTCACTTCGTAGCTGTGCAACCTCCAGTAAGTCCCTTAACGTTTCTGCGCGTCCACTGCAACATCTGTCAAGTGAGGATAACAACAGTGACGACTCCAAGGTCATCGTAAGGGTTAAAGGAGTTAGCAAGCGCTCGGGACCTTGCCTGGCGAGTCGTGAGCGCAGCGCGAGGATGGCTGGGTTATTCTGGGTCATAACTCGGCATCTCCCAGTTGTCAGCCTTTGTCGTCTCTGTTCCAACTTTAATTTGAGACCCAGCTTAGCATCCGTCGCCCGTCTCAAAACTGAGACCCAGATCCAGGCCGGAGGAACGGGCCCCGTCAGGCCGTGACAACCCTGTGGGGAGGGAGCCCTTCTGTCCTTGTGTTCACATCAGTCAGAGGGAAGCCTGTAATTTGCCTTCGTGGCAGTCTCAATACATTCTCGTCGTCGGGGGGCCTCAGCCCTTTGCCGGCAGCAGACGGAAGACCAGAGAGCTGCCCCGGGGACTGTTCTTGCCCTGTGGCCAGTTCCGTTACCCCCTTTGTGATTGATGTGGGAACAAGGACAGAAAAGGCCGGGGTTGCCTCCGTTCCGAGGGAGGCCTCCCTGCCCTGCTGGGGAGCTTGGTGAGAGGCGTCCCTCCTCCCGCCGACTCGGGGGTCTTCCTACCTTTAACTTGCAATGGGCGTTAAGAGCGCTCCTCTTGGCGCCCCTGGCGGAGGGCCCCTCTCGTTTTTAAAACTGTTTTCTGAAAGAGCACGTGTCCTTTCCCACAGACCATTCTAAATAAAGCAACGGAGATTTTCAAACGGAAGAGGTTGAGAAGGGCTTCGCGGCACTGACTTAACGAGCTACGTTTGCTGCCCACCCCGCCCACCTCGTTCTGTGACTTTCTGCAGTTAGATGTCCTTGAGTCAGGCAGCCGGTCAGCGGTCTGAGTGTGGACAGTGACGCCGTTTTCACGGGCCCCGGGTGGTCAGTCTGACCGCCGTGGCCCGCGTCTTGCCTGGTCCCCAGCCCTTATGTGGCCGATCACACTGTCCTGTGCGTTGTTTACAGGTGGAGTCGGCATGAACCTCACGGCAGCGGACACCGTTATCTTTGTGGACAGTGACTTCAATCCGCAGAATGACTTGCAAGCGGCCGCCAGGGCCCATCGGATCGGCCAGAACAAGTGAGAGGCGGAAGCATCACGCCGTTGGCTTCCTCGCCCTTCCGCGGTCCTGGGTGGGGAGGAAGGCGAAGTGCATGGGTCCTGGTGACCGTCCCAGGCCGGAGGGCAGCAGACCACTTGGCTGGAGCCCAGCTTTGCTGCTGGCTCCCGCCGTGGAGCTGGGCGGGCACATTCTCACTCTCGACTTGCAAAAGGACGAGAAGGGACCTGGAGGAGGCATTTAACTCATCCTTCCTGGGTCGAAATCTGATTCCGTTATGAAATGAAGTCATGGAACTAATCGAAAAAGAAAGCCTTGGCCTTGACCTCAGGGAAACCTAGATCTAGCAGAGATTTTCCTCTGCTGCAGATAAGGGAGCGAGTTGTGGCCACCTCGTCGTCCCTTCCTTGACTCTTCGGGAAGGCTCGGTGAGAACCCGCGTGTGGTCCACAGGGCCCCTTAACGGTGCCCAAACACGGCGTCTGGGGTTCGTTTGCCCAGGCGTGTGCCCATGTTTGCCGACCGCGGTCGCACGCCCCTCTCTTTCGCTTCGGTGCAGGTCTGTGAAGGTTATTCGGCTGATCGGCCGAGACACCGTGGAAGAAATGGTCTGTGGGAAGGCCACCGCCAAGCTGCAGCTCGCCAGCACGGTCGTCGAGGGGGGCCATCTCACCCTGGGGACCCAGAAGCCCGCGGCTAGTGCCAGCCTCCAGGTACAGCGGGCTGTTCTTCACTTTAGAACGTGCCAGATTTATAGTCGGTGCTCCCTGCGGACGAGAAAGTGCAGAGAAAGAGCTGGCACGAGCACCCACCTGCCCCAGCCACACGGTCGTGCCCTGGCCGAGCGACCTGCCGTGTGCCCGCCCCACGCAGAGGCCGGAGGCGCTGACGATGAACGTAAAACAACGAGGCGATCCACCGGACTCGGATTGCAGCCCAAGCCTCGTCACTTGTTGGCTGTGTGGCTTTGGGCCGGTGTCTTAACCTCAGATCTGCTGTCTTCTCACTTTTCTGAAGATGAGGACGCCCGGGTTACCTCAGAGGGCCATTGAGAGAATTAGATAAAGAACTGAGCATAATAAGGAATGATTAACCCTGTGCCTCCAACTTAACCCAGACCCTTTGGTCAGAGATCTACGTGACTCTTCATACTCAGGAGGGTGAACGAGGTTGGGAATTCACAGTTATGCCAGGGAAAACGGGTGCAAGAACTAGAGTTCATTGCTGGAATATGGGGGTGCCGGGTGAGAACAAACGGGTCTGAAAGGTCTTAGAGGAAGCTGTCTTCTGGAGGAAGTTATTCTATAGCAGCCCGTGGGTTGAAATTAGAACCCGTGTTATTATACATCCCAGATTCTTCCATTTCGACCCAGAGGTGAAGGTCTGGAAGGAGGCCAACTCCTAGAATGCTGGAAAGATCCAGGCGTGCGGTGAATTGTAAACCTCTGACGGGCAGTAGCCGTGGGAGGGTCCGGGTAAGAAATAGTGCAGGTTCAAGGGCTGCAGGTTCTCTAACCCCCAGGCAGGCCTTAATCACTGTGACGGACGGACGGCTTCTCGGGGAACCCACGGAGTCCCCTAACACAGAGACGCGTCGCAAGTGACAGTGTAAACGCCAGGCAGACTGAGGGGAGGGACCCAGTATGGACCAGTCCTTACCACGAACGCTTGCCTTTCTTCTGTTTTTGGTGCCAGCTGTCAGAGCTGGTGGCCTTGCTGTGTGCACCAAGGTTACGTATCAGTATGTCCAGGTGTGTTCATGCTCAGAGCTAAGCCGTGTGCCAGCGGTTACAGAACGCTCTCAGAGTTCCAGACAGACCACCCGGAGATCAGTGCCCCGGTCCGGAAGGGCGGATGCGGAGTCAGGATGTGAATCGGCTCGGCTTAGAGTCTGACTTAGGGCACAGCCTGGAACTGTTCGGGTGGTTCCTGCAGCCCCAGGGGTGAGCCGAGGGAGCCTTAGGGAGCAGGGGAGGGAGGCAGGGCGGCATAGCCCCGGGGGACTGTCCAGGAGCTGAGAACTGAGAAACCGCCCTCGGGCCTGGCGATGGAGAGCTGGGGCCGGTCCTTGTGAAGGTGGTTCCGTGGGGCACAGCGGGAGGACACCAGATGGCCACGGCAGAGAAGGCGGTGGGTGGTGGAGGTGAAGCACCCCGTGTAGCCTTCCCCTTCCAGGGAGTGTGGCAGGGGACGGTGGGACCCAGCCGGCTGGGTCTCGGACTTCTCGTGCGGCAGCTGGCAGCAAGAAGCGCTAAGGCCATGCAGGAAATTACTGTTACTCTTCAAAAAAAAAAACCGGAGGCTCAGAAATTGTTTTTCTTCCTGAGAATTGTCAGAGCCAGCATCTCTGGTCATCACTTTTCACCTCTCAGCTCACCCATCATCTGTCTACGAAATGGCCCTGTTGGTTCCCTGGGGAGAGAAGGCAGGTGACCACCAGGGAAGGGCTGTGTCCGGTGGCCTGAATCCACTCCGCAGGTCCCTGGTACCCAGTGTGTGTTGCCATGGGAACTGACTGGACCATTTTGTTTTCTCCATTCCAGTTGAGTGAGATCCTCAAGTTCGGTTTGGATAAGCTGCTGTCCTCCGAGGGGAGCAGCATGGATGAAATGGACCTGGAGTCCATCCTGGGAGAAACGGAAGATGGCCAGTGGGCCTGTGACGTCCCGCCTACCGCCGAGGGAGGAAACGGAGAGCTGGAGGAAGCGAGTAAGTGGGGCGAGGGCTGGCCGGGGACACAGCGCCCTGGGCTAGACCGGGAGCCCAGAGTCCCGGGGTGGGGGGTGCCCCACACTGCTCCCTGGGGCAGCTCCGTCCCACCCAGCCCTCGTCTCCTCCCGGGCTCTCTGTTTAAGACGTACGTGGCTCAAGAAGTCTCCCGGACTGACTGGAGGTTGCCTGCCTGTCCCTTAGAACTGGACTTGGAAGTGAACTTAGGTGATTTTGGCGCTTAGGATAGTATCGGTCTCGAGGATTTTGCATTTAATTTGCTTCTCTCGGTTGCAGACATCTCCTTTGTTTATTAGTAAATCCTACGGCCCTTGGTATGGTGCCTTCCGCATGGTGATTCCTTTTCTGAGTAGCACAGCGATTTTTAAAAAATGATAAACGCTGTCTTTATTAGCTGCTCATTCAGAAGTGTATATGGTGTCATGTACTTTATACCTGTGTTTTCATTCAATCCTCACAATCTCTCACGAGGTGCCGGTGCCGTCGATTTTAATTTCTTAGCGAAGCAGTACACGTAAGTCACGAGATGATTTTGTGTTTCTCTTAAATTTTTCTTTCCGAATTTGGTCAACGTTTGTCTTCTTTGCCTTCTGAATATTTGGATTTCTGATTTGAAGTGTTTTTTCTTTCACATAGTAGCTTTGTAAGGATGGTCCCTGACGTCTTATGGTTGTTTGAAATGACTTTTCCTGTGCCAGTGGCAACAGGGACTCGGCCTGGACTGGGGTGAGAGATTTGAGAGTCTTATTGGCTTTTTAATTCACGCGAACCCTACTCCATCGACATGGAGAAGCACAGTCTAGACACCAAGTAGGCAACGAGACGGGGCCTCCTTGTTTTGGTGGCGAGTGGGGTTGGCGTGGCTTCTCGTTTTGTGATCCTCTTGTTTCTGTAGGACCCTGAATTTCCATCCCTTGCTCCTGTCTTAACCTCTTCCACAAAGCTGCCAAGGCCCCTCCACCCTCTGCCAGCTGCGGGCTGCACGCACTCTCGGCCCCTTCCTTTCGATCCCTGGTGGCCCCCGCTCTGCTCTGCCCGGTCTCAGACCTGTCCTGGCTGTCTGCCCATTTGAGGTGCGACTCGGCGGGGGGATGACTTATCTGCGTCTCTTGCTGCTGGAACCTGGCCGCCCGCTCCCCCGCCTGTGGCCTTCCTCCTGGCTCCGCTCCGGGTGGGCTTGGGGCCTGGCTCGGCTGGCTTTGCACGTTCGTTTCTCCCCCTGCACGTTGAGGTTTGTATTATTCCCTGACTCCCAGTTTTGCCGTTGGCGTGCACGTGGGTGCGTGTGACGGGACGTGTGGGGAGACCGCGGGCCTGTTCTACAGGGCGCCGTTTGAATTTTCTGTTTATCTTACGTTTCTTAACGTTAGTGCCCCTCTCTGTTCTTCAGGTACTCTTTCCTGTTCTCTGCTTGTTCAGTCGTATCCTGTTCCCGTTTCGGGGACATCATCTCTGAGAATATTTATCACAGCTTTAAAAAAATATGGTCTCCGCTCCTGCGTTATCTCCCTTTTAATTACTGTTGCTGCTTTTTTTCAGAATGTTTTGGACTCTCGTGTTCTTGTTGGTAGTGTTCCTTACATCTAGTGTCCCTTGGCTGTCTGATCGCATGTGCCGACAAAGTGCCACAGCCCACGGCTGCTCTGGCCTGAGCAGGTGGGCAGGTGGGCTTGGTCCTCATTCCAGCGTGACTGGTTGCTGGGCCGGCTTTCGCACTGGAGACCCTTCCCACACGCACGCGTGCGAAGGCTTCTCACGGGGCAACTCAGTTTCTCCAGAGACGAGTCCTTTAATTAATCTTTCTTGGAAGAGGTGGGGTAGGGTTCGAATAAACGTTTACTCAGATTGACGAGACAGTGTGCATTAGGGGTTCATGGCACAAACCCCCTCCCTCCCCCCGATCTGGTGTGCAGAATTTCTCCAGGTCCCCTGCCCTGTGGTACCTTGTCCTTCTCAGTCATAAGCTCTTAGGGGGTCGGAAGGGTCTCTGTTCTCACAGTCTCCCCTTGACTAGGCATCTGCATCTTGCTTCCACTCTTCTTAACCTGTCACCATCCCTCCAGCCACCTTCCACTTTGCACGGAGTTACTGGACTTTTCATTCACCGTTGGTCTCAATATCTTTTTGAAGTCCCCTTACTGCCATTTCGTGGTTTTAGGTGGGAGCAGAATTAGATGCATGTGGTCCTTTTTTGGTTACATTTTGAATGCGCTGAAGCTTGGACTCACTTCTGCGCTCATGTAGATTAATTTCAGTTGATTTTTCTAATGTTTACTTAGAACAAAATACAAAATTTCACTGTTTTCCAGAAAGATAATTCTATTTCTCAGTCCAACGGCCAAAAAACAGTTATTTTTTCAGGCAGTCCAGCTGCCGGCAAAGGTTTCCCGGCTGTGTTCACATTTGGGGTTTTGTCTTTGATTGGTGAGTATGCGGGTTCACCCTGGTGGGTGTGTCCACTGGCGTGATGTAGGTGACGGGCGTGATGTAGGTGACGGGCGCTCCGACCGCCTCTTGGCCTCAGGGTGGAGACAGAGCACGATTAAAAATAATACAAATGAATGTGAAAGACGAGCAAGTGATGCAGCCTCAATCAAAATCAGATTTAAAAAACAGGGCTGCTTTATCTCGAATGCCAGGCTTCTTAAAAGGCATGTTTGTGAGTTGGGCATCGCATGCAGGATGAAGCCACCTATGTTGATCATATTTGACACCTTTCAGGCTCCTTATCTTTTTCCACTTGTTGATAAGAGCACCTCATGGAAAGCCCCCTGCTGATTTAATTAGCAAATGCCAATTAGAGTTACAGCTGGTTGGATGTGGGTACAAGTGTGAAGCAATTGATCTCTTGAGAATGAAAATGTTTTGCTTTCATACTCTAGAGAAAACGTTCTCATAGCTGCTTTCATAATACTGTGAAAATGCATTCTTTGGTAACGTGTGCTGTTAAATATGCTCCACTTTAGACTTATTATCTCGTGTCCTCTGTGGTTGCTGGTCGCGGCTTGTCATGACTTCCCTTATCACTGATTCGTGATCTTGGCAGAACACCCAACCTTTTTGAGCCTCCGTGCCCTCATCTGTGAAATGGTGCCGTTAATGTCTGCTTTCACCCTTTTATTAAACAGTTGCAGCAATCTATCGCGATAATAGATGTGAACGTGCTCCCATAGCGCGAAATGCTGTTCAAGGTCACATTGTCGGCCTCGTCGTCACAACCAGTTGTTTGCTGGCCCGCTCTCTCCCGAGCCTGCTATAGATACAGTGATTTACCGCAGGGAGCACGCTGGCCTTGGGGTCAGGAAGGCCTGCCTTCTTCATTGATGAGCAGCGAGAATCGAGTCCCTCAGTCCCTGTCTGACCTCAGTCGCCCCTCTCTCGAGTAGGTTAGTTATACCAGGTCATGGTGAGGTTCACGAAGAGGCTTCATGAGATCTGGAAAGAATATTGCAAATCTAAGGGATTATATTTACGGGTCTTCGTTTTCTCATAGATTTGCTATTTGTTCCTTTACTATTACAGAAAAGGGGGTAAAGGGTCGAGCATTAAAAGTGCGTTCAGGATGTGTCCTCGGGTTACCTTGATGTTGGGTTTATGCCGGAGAGAAGTGTGGAATGGATGAGTGATGAGTGATCCAGGATGCAACAGGGTGGAGGTGTCCCGCAGAGACTCGTGGACCACCCAGCAGTGACCCAAGGGCATTAGCCGTGCTCTGTCCCCTGAAAGTGACGCGTGAGTTCCCCATGTGGGTCCCACACCCGTCAGTGCCAGCCGGATGGGGGATGCAGTTCCTTCGTGGCTCACCGGTCTTCAGCCCACGTGGACCGCAGGCCGTTCTCGTGCGCGGCCCGGTGCGGGCTCGGAGTCGCACTGTCCGCTCTCCCTCAGGGTGTCTGTCTCATTTCCCTTTTTTGTGTTTTATGCTCTTAGAAAACCACATGTACTTATTCGAAGGGAAAGACTATTCTAAGGAGCCCAGTAAAGAAGACAGAAAATCATTTGAGCAACTGGTGAATCTTCAGAAAACACTTTTGGAGAAAACTAGTCAAGAGGGCCGGTTACTCCGGAACAAAGGCCGTGTAAGAGCGACCGACTCCTGTGAAAGAATGCGCTCCTCCGGCGCTCAGCCTAAGACAGCGGGACAGGCTGCCGGGGGTGATTTATTCAGGAGTGAGCATGTAGTCGTTGAAACGTAAATGTAACTCACTGTACCCTAGTGTAAGAACTGTGTGGGAAGTTGGCATAAGAACATCATTTAATGCAGGTGAAAGCAGCCCTGTCCATCTAAGCCACCCCTGATGGGGTCACTGTGTTATATCAAAAAATCATTCTCTGCTGTCGATAACCGTGACTCCATGTCATTGAGACAGGATAGCAATCACAAACAGTACCCGTAGTGTCCACGGTATTCGGCACTTAGTACGTGTTCGTTAAATGCTAGTTCTCGTTAAGAGAATCATGATGTTGAAATATTCTGTTAAAGTATTATACAATACGTTGTAGGAAGATTTCCATTAAAAGTGGTTAAACCTAAGATGGCATCCTGCAAGGTATGCTTTCAACTAAAAAAAAAGTACTTTTCCGAAGTATCTTATTCCTCATGAAATCAATCCAAATGACATATTTCTGCACCACCCATGGCTTTGGTTAAGTTTAGAGCACAGTGCCCCGGTCACCGTGCCTGTGAGGTGTGCGATGGAAATTAAAGCGTCTCGCCACCACTTCCCCGCACACGAGGCGGCGTGCAGATGCAGCGTTTTGTGAGACATGGAGCATGATGCTCGCGAACTTCCTGGTTCCGTGTCCTTCCTGCAGGTTCTCATCCCAGGCCTCGTGGAGGGCGCCACTAAAAGGAAGCAGATTCTAAGCCCGGAGGAGCTGGAGGACAGACGGAACAAGAGGCAGGCAGCGGCGGCCAAGAGGAAGAGACTGATGGAGGAGAAGAGGAGGAGGAAGGAAGAAGCGGAACGTGAGAAAAAGTACGTGTGTTACTTGCGTGACCGTGCCGCTGAGGGGCACGGCCGACACAGGGTCACCATCGTGCGGCGGGTCCACTGCTGAGCATCGCTTCAAAATTGCAGGAAACGTCTATAAAGCTGGTAGCTCCTACTGGTCGGAGGATACTTTTTAAAGACTAAACTTTAACCTTAACAATTAGTCTACTTAAGTGGAAAGTCTCGAGTGCCTGAGGCAGGGAAGATGCACTCAGTCGAGGCAAGAAAAATTTAAGATTCTATTGTAACTGCCTTTCAGAAAGTAGTTTACTGAAACAGCCCCTTTTAGTCATGTTTTTAAGAACGGGGCGTCTGTGGCTGCTCTCTCCTGAAGGCGGGTCGGGAGGCAGGCAGGCTGACCCGTAAGGCTTCCCGTTTGCTTCCTAAGGCAGAAGACCCTGTCGCGGGGGTTTGTACCCATGTTCCCGCGGGGCGCCTACTGTTTGTGAACAGCCCGCCCGGCTCACGCCCTCTCTCTCCCTCCCGCCCACTGAAGGGTGGCCTGGTGGGTGTCCAGCCACTACCGGTCCTTCTGCCTGCCGTCCGAGGACAGCGAAGCAGAGAGTGGAGAAGACGATGGTGCCCCCCAGCTGGGTGATGAAGATTCAGACTCTACCTCCATCAAGTACGTTAGCGGCGACGTCACCCACCCCCAGGCCGGGGCAGAGGATGCTGTCATCGTGCACTGCGTAGGTAGGAGAAGGGGGGTCCTCGGTCCTCATGGGGCCAACGACAGGGGAGGGTGAGGCAGAACCCCGAACCGGGGGTGAGCGACGGCCTCAGTGCGGTCTTGTGCGGTCACAGTGTACATGCCAGGATGGGGGGCTCGGGCTTGACTCTCGTCTCTTTGGGGGAGTAACCCCGCCTCCCCGGCCTCCCCTTCCTTATCTGTGTGCTATCAGCCCTGTTTGCTGCCCGGGGTTTTAAGGGTGAAAGGCCAGAGCCGCAAGGTGAACTAATTCTTTGAGAAAAAGTGAAACTCTAAGCGTACCCCGCTTCACACCTGAGCACTTCTTACTTCCTGCCTGGAGCCCTCTTTCCCCAGAGAGCCGCCCGCAAGCGGTGTTCAAAAGTCCACCCCAGAGAGGGCCCCCCGATTGCCTGCGCGGGAACAGACTCCCATCCTACCCCCTCTACGTTCCTCTGTCCGTGTTCCTACCTAATTTTACTTGATGACGCACATCACCACCTGACATGTTGCATATGTTTGTTGATTTGACCGTTTCATTGCACTAGAAAATAAGCTCCATGGGAGCGGGGGTTCTTGGTCCACTGCCATAATCCTAGTGCTGACCTGTAACACATGTTAAATATTTGTGGTAGCTTTGGATGAATGAATGACTCTAAATACAAGATGCTAACCAGCTGAACAAGTCATTTGACCTTTCCTCTTCCTTACCCGCAAAGCGGGAGTCAGGCACCGTACTGTGTGGTACCGACGCTTCAACTCTGTTACATGACTTACATCTACTCTCCGTCCTCCCTCAGTGACGTCCCAGGAATTACAGGGGTACCACAAAGATTTTGTTTTCAGAACACTTAATTTTTTTTGATGCGTCCTGTTATGAAGGCCAGGTATCTTCCAGAAAACCTAACGTGTTTGATATTCCCGGGAGATTAGATTGGTTTTTCAAAGGGAAGAAGAGCTTGCTTCTACAAGTCTATTTGTACGCCTTTGTTTTTTTTTAAATGGGGGACTGGACTTTGCATCCTATAGAAGAAAATGTTTTCTTTTTTCTGTCAGATGACTCTGGCTGCTGGGGCAGAGGTGGCTTATTCACAGCGCTGGAGAAACGATCTGCTGAGCCAAGAAAGATATACGAGCTGGCTGGGAAAATGAAAGGTAAGGCGCACAGCAGAGAGCGGGGTTAAGGGTGGACTAGGAGATACCGTGGGCTGAAAAGCAGTAGCTAAGGAGTCGGGATTGCCGGCTGGAGTCTAATTTCTGTCATCAATGGCTGATTGTCATGTGCCTGTTCTCTCACTTGTAATCTGAGAATAATTCTTACTCCACCTACCTCGCGGGACTATAATAAGTGCAAGTATTTTGATAACCGTGGATCTCTGTGTGCATGTTGAAGTCGAGCGTGTCATCGTTTATCCAACTCACCCGATCTTCGTAAGGGAGGGAATCTCTCGTGAAGAAGTCAGACCCGTGGGGGAGAAGTCAGACATGACATGCTAACAAGGGCTGGGTGCCGAAGGGAGGTAGGGTGCAGTCGGAAGCTAGCACAGGCCGGGGTGCATCACTCCCTGGAAGCAGAAGTAAAGCCGTTTGGTGCTGAGGGAGCCTGGAAGGATGAACCGCGTTCTCCCCTGGCAGAGAGACGGGCCCTTCGGGTTTCCTAGAGAGTGGGTTTCCCCTGAGGCTTCCGCCCAGTTCTCTAGGGCAGACAGGGACGGAAGGACGTGGAGTCCCTCCTCCTCCTGCTGGGACACCTCGCTGGGGGAAGGGGAAGGGTTCGGTATGTGCGGGAATGGTCGCCCCGGGTCTAGATGCTGACTGGGCAGCTGGAGCTGCAGGCCGAGGAGTTTCTCTTTGGGTCCTTGCTGGAAACCACGAGGGAGCTGGGTGGGGAAGCGGGAGGGCAGCGAGCAAACCATGGAGAACACCTCCCTTTAGCGGCAGAGGCAAGAAGGGGTAATAGGAGGAATCGTCAGAGAAATAAGGCGCCCCTTGAGAACACAGTGTCTAGGGGCGCGAGGGAGGAGGGCGTGCCGGGAAGTGGCCTGCACTGGCAGCCACGGAAGCCAGAGCAAGAACCGGGAGAGGCCACTGCGTTCACCCTGCCGCCTTGCCTTGGGGCACCCTGAGGAGAGTGTGAGGACTAAACCCGGTCCCACAGCCAAGGCAGACGTGGTCCGTGAGGAAACAGCTGGCAGCGTGTACTCTTCTCTGAAGGACCGAAGGAGGGTAGAGCAGGGTGGATGAAAGTGTGCACTAACCTTAACCTGGGAGGGCTGCGTGGAAGAGGTGGCGAGGAGTGGTGAGAGTGCCCCTAACCGCGTCTCGTTCTTTTTTGGTGTCCCCACAACTCCTGCCATTCCCCGTATGAGGTGCCGAATGACCCAGGCAGTTACACGGCCAGTGCATTTGGGGACGGCGCATAGGCCAGGCTGGGGGAGAGGTTCGAGCCGTGTCATAGAAGGCTGTACGTGGCTTGTCCAGGGAGATGCCACTGTTAGCAGGACCTCGTCAGTGGGTCAGGGCTCGTCACGGGAGATGCGAGTAGCAGAGCCAGTGTTTCAGAATGGCTTGGAAGACGGGGGTGTGCAGAACGAGAAGACGAGAGGCTCCAGCTGGGGTGTGTAAAGCCACAGAACTAAACTGGCACGTTTTTCTAGCGCGTCGGTCTGCTTTGATTTGGATGAGATACGAATAGAGTAGAACACATTATTTGGATGGTTTAAGACACACACAAGACTTGTAAAGGAATTAAGTCCATAGGGTCTCCCCTTTACTCTGCAGTGCTTTTAGAAGTGCTTTGTGGGTAGTGTTAGGGGAGCATCATTCAGGCGTGAAGGGGGTGATGTCAGCAACAGGGTGGCATAAGACGTTCCCCCTTTTTAGTCAACGAATTAGACATCCGTACACAAACGAAAGTCCTTTGGTGGGTATTTCAGGACCCAGCACCTTAGTCTAAGGGAGTCTAACCCACCAGTGCAAATAATGAGCGACAGACAAACCTCGTAGAGGCTGAGGGCCCGATGGAGCCGGCAGAAATTGGTGAGCGGCGCCCTGGGCGGGTCCACGTGGCAGAGAACTGGAGGGCAAGCCCAGCCTCTCCGGGGGAGACTCCGGCACACGCCGAGGGAGACGAGAACAAGAACGAGTTTGCTGTCAGTGAGGGTGATAGGAGCAGCTTCCCCAGTGGCGCCTCACCCCCAGGGAGACCCCGCAGGGGCTGGTTTGTCTGGCGGAGGCGACCTTTCCCACGGGAGAAGGCGGGGGGTGCCCAGCTTGCCCCGGCGAGGCAGCGTGCAGCTGGGAACCCTTCTCTCCACCGGCATCGACGCGGGAGCTGCGTTGATGGAGGGGACGGAGGCTGTGGGGAAAGAGGCAGAGAAGTTTAAATGGCATCAAAGGGATTGTGCTCTGTGCTCGGCAGGAAGTTCGCGTGTGAGCCTATGGGAGTCCCACCCCTATGGGGTTCTCCTTACCAGGTGCGTGGACACCCCAGTGCACTGAGTGCTAAACCCACATGTCCCCCCACTGCGCTGCTGGCTCCTTGCATGCACCCCAAGAGTGAGCTCAGGGAGACCAGGATTGCACTCAGAACAGGCCCATTGGGCAAGGACAGAACCACAGATTTGAGCTGTAGCACCACCCTCTGGAGAAAAAGGTTTCTACTAGGCAGCCTCGTGATTTCTGAGACCCACAGAAGACCCAGAAGCTTAAACATTGGGCCACGAGAGAGAGCAAGGAGAGAGGAGCCAGGGCCACCTTACAGACACGTAGGGTCTCGTGTCGCACGGTCGTCTCCCTTTCCCTGTCTGCCCAAGGCAGCGAGCTAGAGTTAGGAGGTGTCTGCCGATTCAGATGTGAAAGTGCCAGTGCATGACTGCAAGAAATATGAAAAATCAAGGAAATGCGGCATCATAGAAAGAAAAGGCGTGGTTCTCTAGCAACCGCTCTCAAAGGCAGAGAATATTGTGATCTCACTGATAAAGAATTCAGATTAGCAGCTATGAAGAAGCTCAGGCAATTTAGTAGAGTCAGGAATAAAATATGTGAATAAAATGACTTCTTAAAGAGACTGAGATTTCAAAAAGAACCAAACAAATTCTAGAGCTGAAGAATTCAGTGAATGAGATGAAGACTGTACTAGGGCAGCCCACGTGGGAGACAGAAGTGACTTGGCAGGTAGGAATTTGGAAATGTAGAAAAAAGAAGAAATTAGAAAAGAGTAAAGAAAGCCTACGTGAGCTATAGGATTGGATCAAAAAGACAAATAGGATAATTGGGCTTCTAGAAGGAGTAGGGGGCAAAGAGTTTATTCAAAGAAATGATAGCTGAGAATTTTCCAAACCTGGTGAAAGACTTGTATATATGTCTATTAAACTAATAGATCTCCCTGTCATCTCAACGCAAAAGACCTTCTTCTATATGCATTATAATGAAACTGTCAATCACAAAATCTGAAAGGCAGCCAAGGAAAAAAATGTCACCTACAAAAGAACCCCCATTAGGCAATCAGATTTCTCAGCAGAGACTCTACAGGCCAGGAGCGAGTGGAATGACATAGCCAAAGTGTTGAAAGATAATAATTGTCAGCCAAAAATACTTTATCCTGCAGAGTTATCCTTCAGATATGAAGGAGAAATCAAGGCTTTCTCAGACAAAAACAGTTCATCACAATTATATACCTGCCTTGCAAGAAATGCTGAAAGTTTTTCAAGCCAAAATGAAAAGACACTAATTAGCAACATGAAAACATGTAAAAGTACAGAAACACTGGTAAAAGTGAAAAATATTCAGTCATGCTTAGAAAAATATAACTCTGTTAGGATGGTGTGTTGATCACTCAACTATAGTATTAAAGTTAAAGAGTACTAGTAACTATAGCTACTATAAATTGTTAAGGAATTTACAACGTAAAAAGAGGTAAATTGGGACACGAATAATATAAAAGGGAAGAGCAAGAGTGGAGCCTTTACAGGTGATTGAACCTAAGTCACCATCAGCCTGAAATGCACTGTTCTATCTATAAGATGTTTTATTTAAGCCCCATGGTAACCACAAAGCAAAACCCTAGAGCAGAGCCACAAAAGACAAAGGAAGGGGAAACAGAGGGAAAATAAACAATGGAAAATAAACAAAATAATACAAAACAACTAGAAAGCAACGAAAAAGAGAGCGTTAGTAAGTGATTACATGCCAGCATTAACTCTAAATGTAAATGCATTGAATTCATTAATCACAAGGCATAGAGTGGCTGGATGGACTGGGAGTGGGGGGCAGACCTAGTTATATGGTTCCTACAGGAGACCTGCTTGAGCCTTAAACACACACGGACTTGAAGTTAAGGGATAGAAGAAGATATTCCATGTAAGTGGAAACCAAAAGAAGGTGGAGGTAGCTGTACCTATATCAGACAAAATAGACTTTAAGCCAAAAATGGTTATAAGAGGTAAGGAAGGTAATTATATAATGATAAGGGATCGATCTGTCAAGAAAATGTAACAATCATAAATATATACGTACCCAACATTGGCACACCTAAATAAATTAAGCAAACATTAACAGATGTGAAGGGAGAAATAGAGGACAGCACAATAATAGGGGGCCACAGCACCCCACTTTTAGCAATGCATAGATCGTCCAGACAGAAACATGAACACGGAACATGATGGACTTGAACCAAACATTAGCCCAGGTGGACCTAACAGACATGCATAGACCATTCCATCCAACGGCAGCAGAATACATGCCCTTCTCAAGTGCTCACGGAACATTTTCAGGGATAGATCATATGATAAGGCACAAGACAAATCTTGACAAAATAGGGAAATCAAAATCATACCAAGTGTTTTTTCCGATCGCAGTGGTATGAAACTAGTCATCAACAGCATGAGAAAAGCTAGAAAATCTATAAATACGCGGAAACTAAATACACACCTGAACAACCAACCAGTGGGTCAAAGAAATAAAAAGGAAAACCAAAGAATATCTCAGTGCAAGTGGAAAAACAACATACCAAACCCTATGGGATGCTGCAAAAGCATCTCCGAGAGGGAAGCTTATAAATGCATACGTTAAGAAATGGGAAAGGTTTCAGATAATCAACCTAATATGATACACCTCAAGGATCTGGAAAAGAAGAACAGATTAAGGCCAAAGTT